CATGTTACTGCAGCTCTTTGTGGGGCACCAGTTGTTTGCCCTGCTAAGTTATGGTAGACAGAAATGACCCAAAGACAGAAATGACTGCTAACCAGAAGGTTGGTGGTTCAAACCCACCAGCCACTCCATGGAAGCAGTAAAGATTTACACCTCGGAAACCCAAAAGGGGGTCATTATGACTCAGAATAGACTTGATGGCAGTGAGTTTGTTTTTTTGGTGATACTTATGACAAATCTGTGGTTCAGCAAGATTAAGGAGGGAGTGGATGGTGAAGAATTAGAGGTAGCAAGGATACATGATCTGGTTGGTGAAAAGGTAAGGGAGAAATAAGGTAGCAAGGGTGGCAGGAAGGGAATGAAAGTGTTGGGTATAAAGATTTTCCCTTGGAATTAGAATGGAAATCTTTGGGATCAGCCTGTATGGTTCAAAATTTAGAAGATTAAGGAGATACAAAAATGCCTGAGCTAGGAATAGGGGATAAAAGTGAAGGGGGTGGGCAGAAGTACCTTCCCTAACGTCTGTTCCATAGAAAATGTTCTCAACCCCTAAGTCAGGGGAAGATTTACCAAGCACATTAGGAATTGAAAGCCACAGAGTAAACAAATTGTAAAAACACATTAACAGAAGGGATGTAGGAGATCCTGCATAAAGAGGGAGAACAATGTGGTACAAAACTCAAAATCATTTGGAGGCAAAAAAAAAAAAAAAGAAGGTGGGGACCAGGTTTGCTGGTCCAATGGAGCCTGGTGTAACCACTGAGACTATGGCCCCTAGCTGCCCTTCAGGTCTGGAATTGAACCCACAACTGTGGTTTCCAGCCAAACAAAGTACAGGCATGTGAGTTAAACATTTACCTCAAGTAGACACACGCCCTGGAGAGAACAATCATGGGAGAAGGAAGGGCTGCTTATGCACAGGGAGATAGCTCAGGGTGCAGAAGAGTATGAAGGGATGGACACTGGGAGGAGGTAACTATGGGGAGGAAGTGGGAGGGGAGCTGCTGCATTGTAAATTTTGGTCAATGACATGAGACAAAGTATATGTGAACTGCTGTATGAAAAGTGAATTTACTCTAAATCTTTACCCAAATCCTAATAAAAAAAAAAAAAACACATTAACATTTTTTTTCTTTTGTTTAAGCTACAATATCAAAGCAATAAACCAATGATTTCCTGCTAAGAAAATGAGTTGATAGGTTCTTTGAACAACCTGAATTAATGGACCATTTTCCACAACTGTTTAATTACTCTGATTTTTGTAACTTGCTCTCTGTTCTTTGGCATGTGACTTTCATTTAACTTTTCTTATATGTTATATGATTTAGAGTAAAGGGAGAACATACATCGTGCAGTCAAATGCCACACATTTTTAAATTTGGAGGTGCAAGTTTGAAATTTGATTTATGGACTATTAGACTGTTGTTGTTGTTGTTGTTGTGTGCCATCGAGTCGGACCTGACTCATAGCGACCCCTCCTTGGGTTGCCGAGGCAGTATCACTACGGAAGTAGATTGCCTAACCTTCCTTCCATGGAGCGGCTGGTGGGTTTGAACTGCCAGCTTTCTGGTTAGCAGTCAAGTGCCTTAGGCACTATGCTACCAGAGGTCCCAACTATTAGACTAGGACACCACTAAAAATTCTAGGATGAGGAGAAAATATTCAAACATGATTTGGCCAGAGGACTTGTGCCTTCTACAGAGATTGCATTCCACTGCAGAAGAGCCTTCATTCCCAACAGGTTCCCTAAGAACATGCACTATTTTTAAGTCATGAACCTGCACTAAAGGAAAGGCTGATGAATAGCACAGAAATCTGGGATTAAAGGTTTGCCTTAAGCTCAAGGATTATCAAAGAAGTACTGCTTTACTGCTCTTGGTGGCAGTGGTGGGACTAATGACCTTTTCCACTTCCCCAGCCTTTTGTTGGGCGACGTCAGCCTGAGTTTTTGCACTGGCAGCTTGCTCTTGATTCCTTTGCAACTTGGTCTGCAGCAGGGAAAGTCCATCCTTCAGCTCTGACTGCTGCTTTGCTACATCCAGCTCATTCTTAGCCTTCTTGGCTTGATTTTCAGCCTGTTGTTGAAGATTTAAAGATAAGTAAAGATCAGAGAGGGGAAAGTCTCTTTATGTAACAAGAAACAAACAAGAAAATATACACTATATTAACCTCTCCAAAAATAAGCTAGGTATAAAGGAAAAGAGTGCCTTCTTTTTTTTCTGTTCCATTTATATATTGAAAAATTGTTATAATAAAATATTTCAAACATATAAGGGCCTAAAAGATCATATGACAATGATTCATATGCCCACCAGTCAGTTTAAGAGGAAAAAATTGACAGTGAGCTAAAGTCCTAAATGTACCATTTACCATAAAATCTCATCTCTAATGGTAATGATGTGCTGAATCTAATACCTGTCATTTTCACTTACTTGCACATGCTTTTTACTACCGACCATATAGTTGTTGTTGTTGTTGTTGTTGTGTGCTGTCGAGTCAAACCCGACTCATAGCGACCCCTCCTTGGGTTTCTGAGGCAGTATCACTACAGAGGTAGGATTGCCCAGCCTTCCTTCCGAGGAGTGGCTGGTGGGTTTGAACCGCCAGCCCTCTGGTTAGCAGACAAGTGTCTTAGCCATTATGCTACCAGAGCTCCCGACCATATAGTAGTCCTAACAATATCTGTCTACCACGCATCTTTCAGTTCAGGTTTCAGTGGAGCTTCCACACTAAGACAGATAGAAAGGAGAACTGGCAATCCATGTGCAAAAAAATTGGCCAGTGAAAACCGTATGAACAGCAGCAGAACATCATCTGATATAGTGCCAGAAGATGGGCCCCTCAGACTGGAAGGCACTCAAGATATGACTGGGCAAGAGCTGCCTGTTCAAAGTAGAGTCAACCTTAATGTCGTGGATGGAATAAAGCCTTCAGGACCTTCATTTGCTGATGTGGCATGACACAGAATGAGAAGAAAGAGCTGTAAACATCCATTAATAACCAGAACTTGGAATGTATGAAGTATGAATTTAGGAAAATTGGAAGTTGTCAAAAATGAAATGGAATGCATGGAGATTGATATCCTAGGCATTAGTGAGCTGAAAAGGATGGGTATTGGCCTTTTTTAATTGGCAAATGGAAAAAATGATGAAGTAAAAAGAGATGAACAGAAGATTTCAAAGGGCTGCTCGAGAAGACAAACCATTTTAATGAGATAGGCAAAGACCTGGAGTTAGAAAACCAAAAGGAAAGAACATGCTCAGCAATTCTCAAGCTGAAAGAACTGAAGAAAAATTTCAAGCCTCAAGTTGCTGTATTGAAGGATTCTATGGGCAAGATGTTGAACAATGCAGGGAGCAACAAGGGGAGATGGAAGGAATGCATAGAGTCACTGTACCAAAAAGAAGTGGTCAACATTCAACCATTTCAGGAGGTAGTATAAGATCAAGAATCAACAATATCAAAGGAGAAAGTCCAAGCTATATTGATGGCATTGGTGAAAAACAAGGCCCTGGGAATTGACAGAATACAAATTGAGATGTTTCAACAAATGGATATGAGGCTGAAAGTGCTCACTCATATATGCTAAGAAATTTGAAAGACAGCTATCTGGCCAACTGTTTGGAGGAGATGCATATTTGTGCCCATTCTAAAGAAAAGCGTTCCAAAAGAATGCAGAAATTATTGAACAATATCTTTAATATCACATGCAAGTAAAGTTTTGCTGAAGATAATTCTAAAACAGTTGCAGCAGTTCATCAACAGAGAACTGTTAGCAATTCAAGTGGGATGAGAGATATCATTGCTGACATCAGATAGATCTTGACTGAAAGCAGAGAATGCCACCAGAAATATGTTTACCTGTGTTTTATTGACTATACAAAAGCATTTTACTGTGTGGATAATAACAAATCATGGATAACATTGCAAATAATGAGAATTCCAGAAACTGTGCTCATGTGGAACCTGTACATAGACCAATAGCCATTTGTTCAAACATAACAAGGAGGTACCTCATGGTCTAAAATCAGGAAAGATGTGCATCAGGGTTGTATCCTTTCACCATACTTATTTAATCTATGTGCTGAGCAAATAGTCCAAGAAACTGGACTACGTGAAGAAGAATATGGCTTCAGGATTAGAGGAATGATGATATGCAGTTGACACAACCTAGCTTTCTGAAAGTGAAGAGGACTTGAAGCACTTACTAATAAAGATCAAAGATTACAGCCTTCGATATGGATTATACCTCAAGATAAAGAAAACAAATATCCTTACTTCCGGACCAATAAGCAACATCATGATAAATGGAGAAAAAGCTGAAGTTGTCAAGGATTTCTTTTTACTTGGATCCACAATCAATGTCTGTGGAAGAAGCAGTCAAGAAATCAAATGACATATTGCATTGGGCAGATCTGCTCAAAAGACCTCTTGTAAGTGTTTAAAAGTAAAGATGTCACTTTGAGGACTACAGTGCACCTAACACAAGCCATAGTATTTTCAATCACGTGAAATGCATGTGAAAGCTGGACTATGAATTAGAAAGACAGAAGAAGAATTGGTGCATTTGAATTATGGTGTTGGTGAAGAATATTGAATATGCTACATGCACTACCAGAAGAATCAACAAATCTGTCTTGGCAGAAGTATAGCCAGAATGCAAGGATGGTGGGACTCTGTCTCATGTATTTTGGTTATGTTATCAGGAGAGATCAGTCCCTGGCTAAGAACATCATGCTTGGTAAAATAGAGCGTCAGCAAAAAAGAGAAAGACTCTCAATAAGATGGTTGACACAGTGCCTGAAACAATGTGCTCAAATATAGCAACAATTGTGAGGATGGT